TTACAGGCACGCGCCACCACGCCCAGCTAGTTTTTTGTATTTTTGGTAGAGACGGAGTTTCACCATGTTGACCAGGTCTCGATCTCTTGACCTCGTGATCCACCCGCCTCAGCCTCCCAAAGTGCTGGGATTACAGGCTTGAGCCACCGCGCCCGGCCTCCCTCTTCCTTCTTAAAAGAACTCTAGTGTGTTCATGAATGCATTCCTCTCCCCTGTGATGAAGTGACACTACCCTGGGTTGATCCTGTTTAGTCTAACCCAATCAGATCAAGGGCATTCCTCTGACAACTGTATAGGGTAAGACAACTGACCCGAGTTGGTCCAATCAGACTGAAGGACCAAGTGTGGGAGTTTTTCCTCTCTCTTCCTCTTGCTCTAGAGAATGGGAAAGTGTGTATGTTACTGGTAGTCATCTTGCAACCCTAAAGGAAACCAACCTGACTGTGGAAAGCCAAGAGATGGGTCCTTGATGACACTACTGACCAACTGAATCAGAGCCTGGAATTCATTCTTCCTCTGGACTTAGTGAGATAATTTTCCTTACTATTTAAGCAATAGGGTTTTCCCAGCTGAAAGCATCCTAACAGCCATTTCTCCTTGAAACTTTACTCCCTTGATTTTCTAAACATCACTCTTTTCTGCTCCTACTTCTACTTCTCAAGTCTGGCCTCCCCCTTTCCTCCACCTATTCCTTACATTTTGGTGTCCTCCAAGGTTTGTTGTGATCTTTTCTACCCAAAAGTATATGTTCACCTGAAATAATCTCAGCTTGGCCGGGTACAGTGGCTCATGCCTGTAATCCCAGCACCTTGGGAGGCCAAAGCAGGCAAATCATGAGGTCAGGAGTTTGAGACCAGCCTGGTCAACGTGGTGAACCCATCTCTACTAAAAATACAAAAAATTAGCTGGGTGTGGTGGCGGGTGCCTATTACCCCAGCTACTCGGGAGGCTGAAGCAGAATAGTTTGAACCTGGGAGGCAGAGGTTGCAGTGAGCCAAGATCACACCACTGCACTCTGGCCTAGGTGACAGAGTGTGACTTGGTCTCAAATAATCATCATCATCATCATCATCATCATCTCAGCTCCCTGTATCTTCCCCTTGAAACATCAAAATTGAGCTACCAGGCCGGGTGTGGTGACTCACGCCTGTAATCCTAGCACTTTGGGAGGCCGAGGTGGGTGGATCACCTGAGGTCGAGAGTTCAAGACCAGCCTGGTCATCATGGTGAAACCCCATCTTAAAAAAAAAAAAAATTGAGCTACCAGCACTTCCCCCAGTGGAATACCACGGCTGATGTTCCCCAGCTCATGTACCTGAAGAACTACCTGTCTTTCAAAATTAAATTTAAGTGTCCTGTCTATGAAGCCTTCCCTGAAGTCCATGGTTTCTTTACCTTTTTTTGTGCCATGGACCTCTCTGGCAGTCTGTGAGCCCTATGAACCCCTTTTCAAAATAATGCTTCTAATTGCATACAAAAAAAATGCCAACTATATTGAAATAATCTTATTTTTTAGATTTAAATATCTGACATAAGCAGTATGTGCTTCTTTATTAGCCCACTAAACAAAAAGATCTAGCAGTGAGTCTTACAACCACCATAGTTCTGAAGTAGTAATGAGTATAAGTGATATTTTGAGATCTGCAACAACTGTAATGTGATATGAAAATGTCTGTGACTTGTGCTGGTACTGTGACTTCTATTGGTAACAGGTACTGCTAATACTACTGTGGTTTGATACAATAGGAGCTTGTTAAATGAATGGCCCCCAGTGAAATGTACCTATTCCTATCTATGACCTTGTGTAGTTCCCCACCACATCAACTCTGAACTTGGCTACGTTACTTGTTTTGACATCAGCAAATATGATGCTGTTTGTGCCTTGGGACTTGCCCTCCTGGAACTCAGTAACCAGGTAAGGAAGCCCAGGCTACGCCCATGGCGGGGCATCAAGCCCCCAGACATGGGAGTGAAGCCATCTTCCAGTCAAACCATCAGTTGAATTCAGCCACTGGAAGACACCAGCAGAACTGCCCAGCAAACCTACAGATTTTGAGAAATAATTACTGTTTCGGCCAGGCATGGTGGCTCACACCTGTAATCCTAGCACTTTGGAAAGCCGAGGTGGGAGGATCACTTGAGGTCAGGAATTCAAAACCAGCCTGGCCAACATGGCGAAACCCCGTCTCTACTAAAAACACAAAAATTAGCCAGGCACAGTGGTGGGCGCCTGTAATCCCAGCTACTCGGGAGGCTGAGCCAGGAGAACTGCTTGAACCCAGGAGGCAGAGGTTGCGGTGAGCCAAGATCGAGCCATTGCACTCCACCCTGGGCAACAGAACAAGGCTTAAAAAAAAAAAAATTGTTGGCTGGGCGCGGTGGCTCAAGCCTGTAATCCCAGCACTTTGGGAGGCCGAGGCGGGTGGATCACGAGGTCGAGAGATCGAGACCATCCTGGTCAACATGGTGAAACCCCGTCTCTACTAAAAATACAAAAAATTAGCTGGGCATGGCAGCACATGCCTGTAATCCCAGCTACTCAGGAGGCTGAGGCAGGAGAATTGCCTGAACCCAGGAGGCGGAGGTTGCGGTGAGCCGAGATCGCGCCATTGCACTCCAGCCTGGGTAACAAGAGCGAAACTCTGTCTCAAAAAAAAAAAAAAAAAAAAAAAAATTGTTGCCGGGCGCGGTGGCTCAAGCCTGTAATCCCAGCACTTTGGGAGGCTGAGGCGGGTGGATCACGAGGTCGAGAGATCGAGATCATCCTGGTCAACATGGTGAAACCCCGTCTCTACTAAAAATACAAAAAATCAGCCGGGCATGGGCGCGTGCCTGTAATCCCAACTACTCGGGAGGCCGAGGCAGGAAAATTGCCTGAACCCAGGAGGCGGAGGTTGTGGTGAGCCGAGATCGCGCCATTGCACTCCAGCCTGGGTAATAAGAGCGAAACTCCGTCTCGAAAAAAAAAAAAATTGTTTTAGGCACTGGTTTGCAGTGATTTGTTACCCAAAAATACATAACAGAAACATTACTCATATTCACAATTAAAGGAAGTGCTCAATTTCATTTGGAGATTGATGAAGACAAATTTATATTTTTTCCCCATCAGATTTCAGGAACCCTCTGAAATATATGTGCAGATCTTCTGAGGAGCTGAGGAACCCAGGTTAGGAACCCCTGGTTAAGGCAAGGGGATCTTGCGCTCCTTTTTACTACCTTTCCACATTGTTGGTACACATATAGTTAATCTGGCCACAGCATATCTTTCCTTGTTGTAACCCTGAAATGGCGCAGAGCTCCTAGCACATAACATGTGTTTAACATACAAATTTATCAAATGAATATTGATGATAAGATTTGTCTTCCTGACTAAACTGTGAGCTCCCTGAAAACAGAATAAGAGCAAATACCAAGACTTTTGCAAGTGCTTTACACATACCAACCTACTTTTTATAACAACCCTATGTGGTATATGTTATTACCCCAATTTCACCAATAGTAAGATAGGCACAGAGAAAGTAAGTGACTTGTCCAGGGTCACACAGTTAAAAGGTGGCAATGCCAGGACTAGAAGGCAGAATGCATGTTCTGATTTTACAGCCTTTACTAACGTACATTGCGGAGCTCAATAAAATTTTTAAATGAATAATACAATTCTGAGATTTCATTAGCACTATTTTATGGGTACTATGCTTCTTGAAGACTCAATTTTGTAGATTAATTTCTGGTAGCCTGTGATTTTATGACAAAATACATATAATTTACTTTTTAAAAAGTAGAAGAATGGCTTTATGCTAAAGTGCAGATTTTCGAAATTAAGTCTTCATTGTAAAAGTAGATTTTTTTCAAAGGGCACGAGTTCACAAAATGCAGGAAAGGGGGGTCCACTAGTCCATATTAGTGTTCCCTGGGGAGTGGAGCAAAGCTCCAACTTCCCTCACCACCCAGCCGTCCCACCCCAGCCTCCCCCATACCCTGCACAACTTCTCCTAAGGTGACCCTCCCCCACCCACACATCAGGTTCTGAAACCCGACGCTGCCAGGCAACTAAAGCCGCGAACCCCGCAGTGACCTGAGCTGGCCTCCCGCTACCCTACGATCCCAAAAGGCCACCAGCCGAGGGATGGGTACTTTGGGGGAGGCACTTTAAATTTTCAAAGTGTTTAATTCGCGAAAGCACAACCCAAAAGGCCGCCCCCACCCACCAGGGGGTCTCCCGCCTCCACCCAGTAGCCGCTCATCCCCAGCAGACCGGTGAATGAACCGCTGGGCCGGGACGCAGCCGACTCAGCGGCGGGAAAAGCCTCGGAGTGAGTCGGGCCTGGCCAGCGGAGAGGTCCCAAGAGAGCGCGGGGAGGGCTCGGGCGGCCGGGAGGGGGCGGTGACAGCTGTGACCCAGCTCCACGTTCTCACCTTGAACATGTCGCCGGCAACCGTGGCTCCGGCAGGGTCACTCCGGCCTCGGCCACGCCCACTATGGAGAGGTGACTACGGAGGCCCGATAGGGCCTTGATTTCTCCAACCGCAAGCGGGTCGCGGTGCGGGTGGCGGCCGTACGGCAAACTCGGTACGGCGAAGGGTTAGTAACAGTCACCCCGTTCTAGAAGCCGCGTCGCTGAGCCGCAGAACGTCGCGCCCCGGGCGGCGAATGAACGCAAGACCCGCCCTCCAGGAGGCTCCGCCCCTGCACCGGCGGTTGCTAGGCGGCAAGAAAGCGCCGGCTCCGTGTGGGCGGTACGCGGAGGCGCGAGGAGGGAGGTGCCCGGCGTCGCGCGGCGCTCGGAAACTGCCTCCGCCGCCGCGAAACTGCCTTCGCTGCCGCGATTGGGCGCCCAGCGGCGTGGGCTGGGATTTCTGTGAGCACAGGTTGCCGGGAGGGGGCGCTGGGAGGGCCTCGGGCGGCTTCGAAAGCGTAGCAGCCGGAAGCCGCCGGTTGGCGGACTGGGTTTACCTTACGAAAGGTTTTAAGATTTTTAACCGTTGACTGGACGTTTCTCAGGTTTTAAATTTAAACTAACATACTATGTCCTTTAATCGGAAAAGGCTCAGACCTTATTTTTTTCTCTTTAAGAAACAAGCGGTAAGCCTCCTCTCTGGGAATCAAATGTCCCTTAATACTTGGAGAAGTCAATGATAATGGCAATAATTATCTTATTAACTAGTGTAACAAGCACTGATACAGCACTTAGGATGTGCGCAGCCCTGATCTAAGTCTTTATGCACATTCATCTAATCTTTCCAACGACGGAAGTAGGTGGGCATGATTATTATTCCCAATACATAGATGAAGAAACTGAGGCACGGAGAAGTAATTTGTACAAGACCACACAGAAAGTGGGAAGCTAGGATCCAAACCCATTAGTCTTCCCTTGAAACCTGTGTTCTAGCAAAAACAATTGTTGCACTGTGTCATAATGAGGATGTATTTCCTTTTTCATTCTGTATTTCTGCTCTAATCCTATAGAAAGTGTAAGCCCCATCCAGGCGGGCATCTGGAAGAATTTGGAATTTGTACAGTAACATGTCACTGCCCTGCAGCCAAAACCCACTAGGGACACGCCTGTAGTTTTTGGGTTTCTCATTGCTTCAAGGAAATCGCACATGTAGGAACACAGTGACATATTTCAGTAAAGAGTGTTAGAAAGATTTATTATAGGATTTGAGCTTTGGTTCGGTGATTTTGGGGCGAGTTCAAGGAAGCAGGAGCTTTGCTCTGGATTGGGTGTTGTTAGGAAGCAATGGTAACACCAAGGCCCAGCTGCGAATGCCAGCCATCTCCCAGATGTTAAGGGCTGCTTTTTCTTAAGAGGATTGTATATTCCAAGGCATCCCCAAGGAGAATTTTTTTTTTTTTTTTGAGATGGAGTCTTGCTCTGTCTCCAGGCTGGAGTGCAGTGGTGCGATCTCGGCTCACTGCAACCTCTGACTCCCTGGTTCAAGCGATTCTACTGCCTCAGCTTCCCCAGTAGCTGGGATTACAGTCATGTGCCACCACGCCTAGCTAATTTTTTTTTTTTTTTGTATATTTAGTAGAGATGGGGTTTCATCATGTTGGCCAGGATGGTCTCGATCTCCTGAACTCGTGATCTACCTTCTTTGGTCTCCCAAAGTGCTGGGATTACAAGCGTGAGCCACCTCCTCTGGCCCAAGGAGAAATATTGAATAGACTCAGAAGGCTCTCTGCAGCACAGTGTAACATCACACATACATAAAAGTGTGAAACATATTGAGAAAATAGGGCAGAGGTTCCTAATTCAGGGGGTATGTGAACTTGGGGGAAAAAATGACAACTTCATTTTCACTAACCTCTAATGAACTTTGTTTCTTTCAGTTATAGTGTAGACAGCAAACCACAGTATATTAGCATGGATGATAAAAGCAGATATTTTCATGCTACATTGCAGTCACGTCAGAGATCTTGAAATATTTATGCTCATTACAACCTCAAAAATACAGTAGTTATTGGAGCTCATTTAATGCATTAAGACACATTTACTATAATTTTGTTTTTAAAAATATTTTGATCATTTCAGTACAATGGGAGCACTTTGTAATCCTATGTATTTTATGTTATGCATTTTAAAACCAATTCTTACTAGAGATCTGTCCATAGGGGTCCATGGCACCAAAAGAAATGATAAAGAGCCCCTGGTTTAGTAACAGAGACCAAGCCGTGACTAAGAATTTGGGAGCTGCATCCAAACTGGAGTGTTACTGCATCCAAATTGGATGCTTTAAAGAATAGAAAGTTGGAGGTGGAATCAGAAATTTAGTGCACAGCCTCTCGCTTTACCAAGGAGGGAACTGAACCACTGAGAGGTTAAGTGACTTGCCCAAAGTCCCACTGCTATTTGATGATAAAACTGGGACAAAACGTTTTTAGACAAACATGTAAAAACCCTCCACTGTGCTAGGCACTGAGGAAGCCATAGTTAACAAGATGCCTCTTGCCCTCGATGAGCTTTTTGGTAGACAGCTGGGGAGTGACGAGATTGAATTATTGAGCTACAAAGTTAACTCCAGGTGCAGCGTGCTAGGTCAATGAGAGGAGAAAAAGACTGGAGACAGACCAGTTAGAAGGCTATGGATAGATTTACTTGTCTTTTCCATATACCATAAAATATTTGTGGTACACAAAGAATGTAAACTGTAAGCAACTTTAAGAGATCCCTGATGCCTTCCTTTTTAAAGAATTCAGAATTAGTACAATCATATGGCACTTGAGTCTTGTCCAAACGGTGTCATAGTATAAATTATGACCTCAAAGGCTTAATTTATGTACTTTCAGATTACTTCATTGGAGGGAAAATGAATCGTTCTTCAAATGCAACGCTTAAAAGTATTCTGAAATCAGGTACTAGAACCTCAGGAAAAGCTCGCACAGTACGTTTCGCAAGTGTACCAACCACAGGATCATTATTACAATCGTAAGTACCCATATTTTGCCTTGTGTTACTTTCCACAACCGTACAGTTTCCAAACAGTACTTATCCAGATAACTTCAATTCTTCTTGTTTTGTAAATCACAGATTTTGTGTTTTTGTTTTGTTTTTGTTTGTTTTGAGGCGGAGTCTCGCTCTGCAGCCCAGGCTGGAGTGCAGTGGCACAATCTCAGCTCACTGTAATGTCCGCCTCCCAGGTTCAAGCGATTCTCCTGCCTCAGCCTCCTGAGTAGCTGGGATTACAGGCACCTGCCACCACACCCAGCTAATGTTTGTATTTTTAGTAGAGATGGGGTTTCACCATGTTGGCCAGAATGATCTCCATTTCTTGACCTTGTAATCCGCCTGCCTCGTTCTCCCAAAGTGCTGAGATTACAGGCGTGAGCCACCACATCCAGCTGATTTTGTGTTTTAAAATTACTTTCCAATTGAATAATAATTGCATTTTCTAATTTATAAAACATATTAACAAACATCTATTTGATCCTGATACAATCTTGTGAAACAATTTTATTATTACATTTTATAAATGAAGAAGCAGCAACTGGGAGAAGGTAAGTGGCTTAAGGAAGTTAAACAGCTAATGGCATCAGCTAAGATTCAAAGCTTGTTTCCATACTTCAGGCTTTTTCGCTTTTTCTTTCCTTTTTTTTTTTTTTTTTTTTTTTTTGAGACAAGAGTCTCACTCTGCCACCCAGGCTGGAGTACAGTGATCTTGGCTCACTGCAACCTCTGCCTCTCATGTTCAAGTGATTCTCCTGCCTCAGCCTCCCAAGTAGCTGGGATTACAGGTGTGCGCCACCACACCTGGCTAATTCTTGTATTTTTAGTAGAAACGGAGTTTCACCATGTTGGCCAGGATGGTCTCCATCTCTTGATCTTGTGGTCTGCCTGCCTCGGCCTCCCAAAGTGCTGGGATTACAGGCATGAGCCACTGTACCCTTTTCTTCATTTTATCTTGTAGTCTGCATTTTGCCAGCCAATGGGTAACCTTATGCAGGAGTACCTGTCTTTGTACGTGGCCCTGTAAGGGGTAATGATGGGGTAGGAAGGTATGAAGGAGGAGACCCCTACAATCTGCCAGTGCTGGGATATGATCCAAACTAGAATAATTCTAGGCTGGGTGCAGTGGCTCACGTCTGCAATCCCAGCACTTTGGGGGGGCGAGGCGGGCGGATCACAAGGTCAGGAGTTCGAGACCAGCCTGGCCAATGTGGTGAAATACTGTCTCCACTAAAAATACAAAAAGTAGCTGGGCATGGTGGCGAGTGCCTGTAGTCCCAGCCACTCAGGAGGCTGAGGCAGAAGAATCGCTTGAACACAGGAGGCAGAGGTTGAAGTGAGCTGAGATCACACCACTGCACTCTGGCCTGAGCAACAGAGGGAGACTCTGTCTCAAAAAAAAAAAAAAGAAAGAAAAAAAAGAAAAGAAAAAAAACCACGTAGAATAATTCTGACCTGACCTGGATGAGCCTGGTTCAAGCAAAGATCAGAGAAGGAAGTTTCTTTTTCTAGGGCATAGTCATCCACCCCCAGAAGAGAACTGAGCCTCCTATAACTTTGACTATTCCCCATTCCATTTTCATAGCACTTGAACTAATTGGACGTTTCATTTTAGGTCATGGTTGTTTTTGGGACGTGAACTTGCCTCCTCACACTTTTTATTTATAATATATGTGCCTCTTAATGATACCTTTATATTTTATATGCCTCTTCATGATAAAGTCTTAGCCAGGAGTTTTTTTTTTTTTTTAATCTCAAGGGAAATCCCCTCAGGTATTTCACATCCTCATTCTGAGTAGATTCTGCAAATGACCAGTTCCAATTACCACATCCAAATGTTCCTCATTAGGTTAGTCTTAGAGTGGAGGATGGGGAGGTACAGGAGGAAGAAGCATAAATTGATAGTTCTCTAAAGTTTTAGAAAAATGAAAACTACTTTGTAAATATTAACCTCTTTTTTTCCTCACAGAAAGGTTAAAGATATTGCAGCTCGAATAATACAGAGGGCTTGGTTAGCTTATATAAACAAAATGATATTTCAACTCCTAAAACATGCAATTTGTGCAGCGGTATGTATTTTGCTTTTTGTTTTCTCTGATGGATTTAATTATCAAGCTAAAAGATCTGTTAATTAAAGATAGAATAAATAACCTTCTTTATCTCGTCTATTTGGATCTAATAATATTATATGGAGTTCTGGAATTGTTTCTTCTGTTAGCCCTAAATGAATATTTCTGGATTTTTTAAAATGTGGATGACTATTTATACTTCCTGTTTTGTTTCTAAATTTGATTCCTTCCTTAAAAATGTGAGACAGTTCTCTTTCAACTATAAAAAGCTCCAAATCTACAAGGTGCAGTGTCTCATGCCTGTAATCCCAGCACTTTGGGAGGCCAAGGCAGAGAGGCCAGGAGTTTGAGACTAGTCTGGCCAACACTGCGAAACCCTGTCTCTACTAAAATACAAAAAAACAGCCAGGTGTGGTGGCATGTGCCTGTAGTCGCAACTACTTGGGAGGCTGAGGGAGGAGAATTGCCTGAACCAGTGAGACTCTGTCCCCCACCCAAAAAATCTCTGAATTAAAAGTGCCCTTACCTTTCATCCATCAATTTTACTTCTAAGAGTCCATTTTAATACTCACATACACACACACACACACACACACACACACACACACAAATTGATTGTAGCATTGTTTGCAACAGCAAAGGAAGTAAACTGTATAATAACTATTGATAGAATGCTGGTTAAATAAGTGTTGCTGCTTTTATAGTGTTAAGCTTTGTAGCTTTAACGTGATTCTGCAATTGAAAAATAACCAAGATAGCTCATCAGTTAAAAAAGCAAGCACCGGACAGTATGAAGAATATGATTCTACTTGAGTGAAAAAAACAAAACAAAACAAAAAAAGATGCACATACCCCCTTCTCCAGAAGGCAACTCTTGCAATCCTAGCAGAGCCTTCCTTGGTATAGTACCAAATATTCTAATAAGACATCCCATAATTCCAGTAGTCTACTATTAGTGATACTCTTTTTTGTTTGAGATGGAGTCTCACTCTGTCCCCAGGCTGGAATGCAGTGGCATGATCTTGGCTCACTGCAAACTCTGCCCCCCAGGTTCAAGCAATTCTCCTGCCTCAGCCTCCCTAGTAGCTGGGACTACAGGTATGTCCCACCATGTCCAGCTAATTTTTTTTTTTTTTGGTATTTTTAGTGGAGATGGGGTTTTACCATGTTGGCCAGGCTGGTCTTGAACTCCTGACCTCAAGTGATCCGCCCACCTTGGCCTCCCAAAGTGCTGGGATTACAGGCATGAGCCACCACACCTGGCCAATTAGTGATACTCTAAGGGAATTTAGCAGCTCTGAAAAAAAAAAGTCTGAGCAATGTGTACACCGTTTACCATCTGACTCACAGACCTATTTCTGATGTCAGTAAAAGCAGAATACGGCTGGGTGCAGTGGCTCACAGCTGTAATCCCAGCACTTTGGGAGGCCAAGGTGTCCGGATTGCCTGAGGTCAGGAGTTCAAGACCAGTCAGGCCAACATGGTAAAACCCAGTCTGTACTAAAAATATTTTAAAAAACTAGCTGGGCATGGTGGCATGCCCCTGTAATCCCAGCTACTCAGGAGGCTGAGGCAGGGAAATTGCTTGAACCAGGGAGGTGGAGGTTGCCATGAGCCAAGATCACGCCAATGCACTCCAGCCTGGGTGATAGAGCAAGACTCTGTCTCAAAAAAAAAAAAAAAAAACAAGAAACAAAAAAAAGCAGAATACTTCAGAGAAAACCCACCCAGGTAAACTCCTGACATTTCAGGTCTATTATCTATTGTCTTTGAATATGGAACTTGTATTTAATTATTATAATGCTGGTTGTATAGTATTTTTAGACTCTTTTGTAACAGAAGTTAATTTTTTTATCTGTTATAGTAATGCTTTAATATCTTAATAATGTTTTGTCCTTTTAAAAGCCCTTTATTTATTTACTTTTTATTTATTTATTTATTTATTTATTTTTGAGACAGTGTCTCATCCTGTTGCCCAAGCTGGAGTACAGTGGTGCAGTCTCAGCGCACTGCAACCTCTGCCTCCCAGTTCAAGCAATTCTCATGCCTCAGCCTCCCGAGTAGCTGGGACTACAGGTGCCCGCCATCACACCCAGCAAATTTTTGTATTTTTTATAGAGACGGGGTTTCATCATGTTGGCCAGGTTGGTCTTGAACTCTTGACCTCAGGTGATCCTCCTGCCTCGGCCTCCCAAAGTGCTGGAATTATAGGTATAAGCCACAGCACCCGGCCTAAAAGCCCTTTAATGTACATTTTGATGTGATTATCATAGGTATAAAGGGTTTGGTTGGGGGAAAGAGTTGGGGCTTTAGAGTAAAACAGAAATCAATGAATCCTGGCCTTCCAGTTTACTACCTGTATCCCTTTTTATACATTGCAAAAACTTCCTGAGCCTCAGCCTTCTCATCTGTAAAATAGGAGTGATAATATTCTCATAATGAGCTGAGTACGGTAGTTTATGCCTATAATCCCAGCACTTTGGGAGGCCAAGGTGGGCGGATCACCTGAGGTCGGGAGTTCAAGACCAGCCTGACCAACATGGAGGAACCCCATCTCTACTAAAAACACAAAATTAGCTGGGTGTGGTGGCACATGCTGTAATCCCAGTTACTCTGGAGGCTGAGGCAGGAGAATCGCCTGAACCCGGGAGGCGGGGGTTGCAGTGAGCCAAGATTGTGCTATTGCACTCCAGCCTGGGTAATGAGAGTGAAACTCCATCTCAAAAAAAAAAAAAAAAAAAAAAAATTCTCATAATGTTGCTGGTGTAAGGATTAAATGAACTAATATATATAAGGCACCTAACATAGTATACGGTATATAAAAGGTGCTTAAAAGCTAGTAACTTATTACTATTAAATCCTCATCTTACAGTGATTCATTCAACAAATAAAGTATCTGCTGTGTACCAGGCACTGTATTAGATGCTAGGAATGTAGTGGTAAAGAGAAAAACCACCATCCCTGCCTTAATGAAGCTTACAGTCTAGTAGGAGGCACAGACAAGTTGATAAGTAATTATAATATATTGTGAAAAGTGCTGTCATAGGGAAAGAATAGTGCCTTTGATCTCTAAAAGGGGCAGATACCCCAACTTGAAGGCCAAAATGATGAAGTAACTAGCTCAAAGCTACGCAGATGGTAAGTGGAGGTGCCAAAACAAAAATCCACCCCTTCAGAACTCCAAGTCCAGTGTACTGTTCACTTTACCATGTTGCCTCTCTTACAGTCTGTACATTGTGTCTGGGCAGGATACTGCTCTCCTTTTACATCACTGTCCTCTATTTCAGGAATTCTTTGTGACACATGAGATACTGAAGAAAGTGACCCCCTTAGAGGCTAAACTTCTTAAAGATCCTACCATGAAGTGTAAAATTAGATTTAGGTAATGTGTCTATGCTGATTTATTTCAAGAAGTACTTAGTTAATATGAGGAAATCTTAGAAATGTATTTTGTTAATCCTCATAACTTCTCAGAATATAATGACAAAGTAACTGTGTTATCCTTATTTACATTTGTTATGTGAAGAGACTGAGGCATGACTCTGGCTAAAAGTTGCTATGTGAGTAACTCTCATCTCTCATTGTGTATCCAGTCTTCCACAGGTATGAGAATAGTTCTGAGCACGCCAAAGTGTGGGTCTTACATCCTACATGATCATTTCATTACCAGTTCTTTATATGCTCCGACATAGCCTTTACCTTGTATGCAAGAAACTATATAAACTATCTTAAGTACAAGGGGGAAAAGTAACCGAGCCCAAAACCTGATGCCAAATAACTAATTTCTTATATTTCAGATTTAGAGGTGAAACATTTCCACCTTTCATCGTGTTTAAAATTTTTCTTCATACTGAAGGCCATGGTTACAAGTACTTCAGCGGAAAAAATGTATTCAGGCCGTCAAGTGAGGTGATGTTTCATGACGTACATTTTATGTTAATTTAGCTTAACATCTGTGTAGTGTCTGAATTGCATTCTAATTACACAGAATAAGTTATTTCACCATTAAACAGCCCACCAGGCAGGTAGTGTTTTTTTTTTAGCACCATGTTTCAAAGTGTGTCCACTTATTAGCTAAAAAACATGTAGAGTGAATTACTTAAGGATCTAGAAAATATCCATCAGTTTTGTATTAAAATTTTCATTTCTTAATAATAGACTAGGCCAGGTGCAGTGGCTCACACCTGTAATCCCAGCATTTTGGGAGGCCGAGGTCGGCGGATCACCTGAGGTCAGGAGTTTGAAACCAGCCTGGCCAACATGGTGAAACCCCATCTCTACTAAAGATACAAAAATTAGCCAGGCATAGTGGCACATGTCTGTAATCCTGGCTACTCGTGAGGCTGAAGCAGGAGAATCGCTTGAACCTGAGATGTGGAGATTACAGTGAGCCAAGATTGTGCCACTGTACCTCAGCCTGGGCATCAGAGTGAGACTCTGTTTCAGAAACAAAAAAAATAGACTAAAATTGGTCAGGGCTCTTAAACTATTTAGAACATTTAATTTAATGCCATTTTATTTGTTTTAATGGAATTTTATTTTTTTTTTATTCTGGTAGCACATTGAGAAAAAAATGTGCTGGACTGTGCTATTGAAAATGAACTTTCAAAGTATTTGTCTTTTTTCACATGAATTATCATACTTTTTTTTTTTGAGATGGAATTTCACTTTTGTTGCCCAGGCTAAAGTGCTATGGTACTATCTTGGCTCACCGCAACCTCTGCCTCCCGGGTTCAAGTGATTCTCCTGCCTCAGCCTCCCGAGTAGCTGGGATTACAGGCATGTGCCACCACACACAGCAAGTTTTTGTATTTTAAGTAGAGATGGGGTTTCACCATGTTGGTCAGGCTGGTCTCAAACTCCTGACCTCAGGTGATCCACCTGCCTCAGCCTCCCAAAGTTCAGGGATTACAGGCATGAGCCACCACGCCTGGCCCTCTCATCATACTTTTAAATTTCATGAATATTCACCACAAATTGTGTCTGCAGTATAGGAATCACCTGGGAATCTTGTTAAAATGGTGCCCCTGCTGCTGGTCCATAAACCACATTTTTAAAAAAATTAATTCATTCAGCTACTCTGTATCTTTTGATTGGAGAGTTTAGTCCATTTACATCAGTGTTATTACCGATAAGTACGGACTTTTGCCATTTTCTTATTTGTTGTCTGGTTGTTTTGTGGTCTTCTCTTCCTTCGTTCCTTCCTGCCTGCCTTCCTTTTAGTGAAGGTGATTTTCTCTGGTGGCATGTTTTAATTTCTTGCTTTTTATTTTTTATGTATCTGTTGTATGTTTTGGATTTGAGGTTACCATGAGGCTTGCAAACAATTATAACCCATTATTTTAAACTGATGACAAATTAACACTGATTGCATCAACAAACAAATAATTAACAAAAAACTAAAGAGAAACCAAACAAAAACTCTGCACTCTAACTTCATCTCCCCACTTTTTAACTTTTTGTTGCTTCTATGAATATTTTACTGTACTGTCTATGTCTTGAAAAGTTGTTGCAGTTATTATTTTTGGTCGGTTCATCTTCTAGTCTTTCAAGATAAGAGTAGTTTATATACCACAATTCAATGTTATAATATTCTGTTTTTCTGTACACTTACTCTTACCAGTGAATTTTGTACTTTCAGATGATTTCTTACTGTTTATTAATGCCCTTTTCTTTCAGATTGAAGAACTCCCTTTAGCATTTCTTGTAGGACAAGTCTATTATTGACAAAATCCCTCAGCTTTTGTTTGTCTGAGAAAGTCTTTATTTCTCCTTATGTTTGAAGGATATTTTCACTGCATATACTATTCTAGGATAAAAGTTTTTATTTTTCCTTCAGCACTTAAAATATGTTACTTCACTCTCTCAGCCTGTAAGGTTTCCACTGAGAAGTCTGCTGCCAGACATATTGGAACTGCCAGACATATTGGAACTCCTTTGAATGTTGTTTCTTTTCTCTTGTTGATTTTAGGATTCTTTCTTTATCCTTGACCTTTGGGAGTTTGATTAGTAAATGCCTTAAGGTAGTCTTTGGGTTAAATCTGCTTGGTATTCTATAACCTTCTTTACTTGAATATTGATATCTTTCTCTAAATTTGGGAAGTTCTCTGCTGTTACCCTTTTGAATAAACTTTCTATCCTGATCTATCTCTCTACCACCTTTTTAGGGCCAATAATTTTTCTTTTTCTTTTTTTTTTTTTTTTTTTTTTTTTTTTTTTTTTTTTGAGATGGAGTCTCGCTCTGTCGCCCAGGCTGGAGTGCAGTGGCACGTTCTCTGCTCACTGCAACCTCCATCTCTTGGGTTCAAGCAATTTTCCTGCCTCAGCCTCCTGAGTATCTGGGATTACAGGCACACGCCACCACGCCTGGCTAATTTTTGTATTTTTAGTAGAGATGGGGTTTCACCATGTTGGTCAGGCTGGTCTCAAACCCATGACCTTGTGATCTGCCTACCTCGGCCTCCCAAAGTGCTGGGATTACAGGTGTGAGCCACTGTGCCTGGCCCTTTAGGGCCAATAATTCTTAGATTCACCATTTTGAGGCTATTTTCTAGATCTTATAGGCATGTGTCATTCTTTTTTATGTTTTTTTCTTTTGTCTGCTCTGATTGTGTATTTTCATATGGCCTGTCTTCTAGCCCACTAATTCTTCTGCGTGATCAGTTCCTCTGTTAGGAGACTCTGATGCATTCTTCAGTATGTCAGTTGCATTTTTCAGCTCCAGAATTTCTGCTTATTATTTTTTTTTTTAGACGAAGTTTTTTGCCCTTGTTGCCCAGGCTAGAGTGCAATGGTACAATTTCGGCTCACCATACCTCCGTCTCCTGGGTTCAAGCGATTCTCCTGCCTTAGCCTCCGGAGTAGCTGGGATTATAGCCATGCACCACCACACCCGGCTAATTTTTTTGTATTTTTAGTAGAGACGGGGTTTCTCCGTGTTGGTCAGGCTGGTCTCGAACTAAAAAGTGCTGGGATTACAGGCGTGAGCCACTGAGCCCTGTTTGCTTGATTATTTTTAATTATTTCAGTCTCTTTGTTAAATTTATCAGATAGGATTCTGAATTCCTTCTCTGTGTTATCTCGAATTTTGTTGAGCTTTCTCAAAACAACTATTTTGGTGTTTTGTTTTGTTTTGTTTTTTAATCAGAACATGAACACAAAAACAGCTATTTTGAAATATCTAACTGAAAGATTCGTGCCTCTGTCTCTCTAGGATTGGTCACTGGTGCCTTATTTCGTTTTTTTGGTGAGGTCGTGTTTTCCCAAATGGTCTTGATGCGTATGGATGTTTGCCAGTGTTTGAACATCAGAGTTAGGTATTGTAGTATTTTTTATAGTCTTTACAGTCTGGGCTTGTTTGTAACCCATCCTTCATGAAAAGGCTTTTCAGGTATTCAAAGGGAACCCAGGTGTCATGATCTAAATCTTTGGTCACTGCAACCATACAACCATATCTGCATTAGGGGGCACCCCAAGCCCAGTAAGGCTGTGGCTGTTGCAGACTTGGAGAGGTACTGCCTTGTTGTTCTTGGCTAAAATCTGGAAGAATTCCCTGGATTACCAGGCAGAGACTCTTGTTCTCTTTCTTTACTTTTTCCCCAATAAATGGAATCTCTCTTTCTTTCTGTACTGAACAGCCTAGAGCTGGGGAAGGGGTAAAATAGGCACCCTTGTGCCCACCACCAAACTAGGACCGCACCTGAAGCAGGCACAGCACTGAGTCTCTCCTGAGGTCCACAGTGACCACTGCCTGGCTACCACTTATGTTCACTCAAAGTCCAAGGGCTCTACAATCTGCAGGTGGCGAATCCGGACAGGCTTGTGATATAGACCACATTTTTAATAGCAACACTCTACAGTAGAAGTTTTACTCCTTGAACCCTTATATGGGACTTAAGTTTTAAAAAAAGATGGACATTCTCATATTTAGCCATTTATAAACCACATATCAAAGGTTATTTTCCTGTAACTCTGGCAAGATCCCCCTTCTGGAAATGTTGTACACAAATACTATGGCCTATCTTAAACTGTAAGTTCTAGCATGTATGCAGGAGAGGTGACCACACAGCCTGGCCGTTTCTAATCAGATCCCGCACATACGGCATTGATTCTGACAAGTTTTAGAAAAGGAAAAGGGATTGCTTTTCTCCATGTTCTCAGGCAATATCAGAGAAAATTTAACTTTATTTCAGAAATATAGCAAATGAATCGGGCATGGTGACTCAGCCTGTAGTCCCAGCACTTTGGGAGGCCAAGGTGGGTAGATCACCTGAGGTCAGGAGTTCAAGACCAGCCTGGCCAACATGGTGAAACCCCATCTCTACTAAAAATACAAAATTAGCCAAGTGTGGTGGTGGATGCCTGTAATCCCAGCTACTTGGGAGGCTGAGGCAAGAGAATCACTTGAACGCGGGAGGCAAAGGTTGCAATGAGCTGAGATTGCCCCATTATACTCCAGCCTGGGCAACAAGAGCAAAACTCTGTCAAAAAAAAAAAAAGAAAAGAAAAAAGAAATATATCAAATGAGCTACATGTTTTCATTATGGAACATGGTGTTTCAAAAACATTAATATTTAAATAAATTGACTTCAAATATGGAAATACATACTTATCCTACATTTGAAGGATAAATTTATGCCACATTTATCTATAGAATAAGCTTGTGGTTACACCTATAAAATATCATCAATTGTTTCTTTCCTGAGATTATATAATGAGGCTTTTTTTTTTTTTTTTTTTTTTTTTTTTTTGAGCTGTAGTCTCGCACTGTCACCCAGGCTGGAGTGCAATGGAGTGATCTCGGCTCACTGCAACCTCCGCCTCCTGGGTTCAAGCGATTCTCCTGCCTCAGCGTCCTGAGTAGCTGAGACTACAGGCACCCATCGCCACACCCAGCTAATTTTTTATATTTTTAGTAGAGACGGTGTTTCACCCTGTTGGCCAGGCTGGTCTCGAATACCTCATCTTGTGATTCTCCTGCCTCAGCCTCCCAAAGTGTTGGGATTACAGGCATGAGCCACCGCGCCCAGCCTTCATGAGGCTTTTTCAAGAACTGAAATCCTTCTGGGTCCACTCCTGCCAGCCCCTGTGCTGTACCCAGGCTTGAGCAAATGAGAACCTTAGAGGCAGTGATTGGAAATCACTGCTTATGCATTAAAACTCATAGTAATGCTGTGTAATAACTTCAGTTTTTGTTTAAATTAGCCCACAGATAGAAAAATACGCCTCCGTGCCTTTCTTTTCAGTGCTACATCTTTCACTCTCCTGGTGTAGTCATTGTTAATGGTTTGCTGTGTATCCTTCATGTTTCCCATGAAAATATACACACAGAGATTTTTAAATTTTGTTCTTATTATAAACATGTGGTCATACTATTGACCTTGAATTTTTCACTAAACATCGTAATGGGTTTTAAATGATCAGAACATACCCATCTTGAAGAGAACAGTTTAAGCTTCCTTTTTCCCTTTAGTTCAGCTGCAAAACAAACTCTGGTAACAGATTCGTAGTTGATAGAAAACTGATAAATGTGGAATTTTCCTCACTCTAAGCTTAACTCTGTTGCTCTTTGTTTTTGGGTTTTGGTTTGTTTGTTTTTTTCTTTTTGAGGCAAGGTCTTACTCTGTTGCCCAGGCTAGAGTGCAGTGGCGCACACTCGGCTCACTCCAGCTTCCCCCTCCCAGGCTCAAGCAATTCTTATGCCTCAGCCAGCTGAGTAACTGGGATTACAAATATGTGCCACCACGCCTGGCTAATTTTTGTATTTTTTTTAGTAGAGACAGGATTTTGCTATGTTGGCCAGGCTGGTCTCAAACTCCTGGCCTCAAGCAGTCTGCCCACTTCAGCCTCCCAAAGTGCTGAGCCTGCTGAGTACTTTCTATCAAATATGAGTTTAGGCCGGGTGCAGTGGATCACGCTTGTAATCCCAGAACTTTGGGAGGCCAAGGCAGGCAGATCACAAGGTCAGGAGTTCAAGACCAGCCTGGTCAACATAGTGAAACCCCATCTCTACTAAAAATACAAAAATTAGCTGGGCATGGTGGTGAGCACCTGTAATCCCAGTTACTTGGGAGGCTGAGGCAGGAGAATTGCTTGAAACCAGAAGGCAAAGGTTGCAGTGAGCCGAGATCATGCCACTGCACTCCAGCCTGGGCGACAGAGTGCGACTCCATCTCAAAAAAAAATAAAGAAACAAACAAATACGAACTTAAACAATTTATGTACATTACTATATTTAATCCTTATAAACACTACAATGTATTTTCTGTTATTATCCTCATTTTAAAAAAGACTAAGGGCTGAGTGCTGTGGCTCACATCTGTAATCCTAACACTTTGGGAGGCCGAGGCAGGTGGATCACTTGAGGTCAGGAATTCAAGACCAGCCTGACCAACATGGTGAAACCCTGTCCCTGCTAAAAATGCAAAAAATTAGTCAACTGTGGTGGCACATGCCTGTAATCCCAGCTACTTGGGAGGCTGAGGCAGGAGGCTCACTTGAACCCAGGAGGCGGAGGTTGCAGTGAGCCAAGATTGCACTACTGCACTCCAGCCTGGGCGACAGAGTGAGACTCTGTCCAAAAAAAAAGAAAAGAAAAGAAAAAAACTAAGTAACTTGCCTAAGGTCTCACACCTAGAAAGTAAAGGAACCGAGATCAAGCCCTAGTCAGTTTGCCTCCAAAGTCCAAGTTCTTAACCACTCCTGAGAGTTAGGCACTATGCTAAATACATATTCTCTTAGATGACCCTGAAATAATTCTGGTAAGGGACACATTATTCCCGTTTTCCCTATGAGGAAGCTGGAAGTTGGAAAGACTTGCCAGGAGCATAACTGAGACTTGCACACTTCTCTGTGTTTCCACTGTACTATGTACATTTTGAGGTTAAAACAACCATGCAGTTATGGTGGTTTTGTTGATTCTGAGCCTGTATATAATTGAACTGTTCCAAACCAAGAAACTGTTCCAATGCAGGGATACCAGTTATTACCTCCTCCATGAATGACAGTTTCCAGTAGGAACGGGAAAGTGTCTTGAGATACTAGCGTAGCTTACAAGCCCAAGTGTGGACCTAGGCCAGCAAATAGCCACAGAGCTGTGGGGTCCTCTGGCCACAGGGATGCTGAGTATGAGGGTAAGTGTCAGATTTAGAGATAGCCCCCTTTGGCCCTTTCAATCACCCACTAAAAACAGAAACTGCCTCTTGAATCCTACCTTGATTGGCTGGTATCCTGTAATCTTTGCCCAGTTTTTGCCCTTGCTTTTCTCTGGATTCTAGGCTCTACTTTCCCATTGCTTCCTATGGAGAAGGACTTTCTTGAATATGGTCATATGCTGTGGATGTCTGAGAAAGAATATCTTGGCCCCTGGACAGCAAACATTTTTCTTTCTTTCTTTCTTTCTTTTTTTTTTTTTGAGACAGAGTCTCACTCTGTCACCCAGGCTGGAGTGCAGTGGCTGGATCTTGACTCACTGCAACCTCTGCCTCCCAGATTCAAGTGATTTTCCTGCCTCAGCCTCCCGAATAGCTGGGACTACAGGCACCTGGCACCATGCCCAGCTAATTTTTGTATTTGTAGTAGAGACAGGGTTTCACCATGTTGGCCAAGCTGGTCTCGAATTCCTGACCTTGTGGTCCACCCACCTCAGCCTCCCAAAGTGCTGGGATTACAGGCGTGAGCCACCACGCCTGGCCACATTTTTCAAACCCCTTTCACAGACGGGCAGAGAGCTTGCCCTATGCTTCCAGGTGTGTTTTTCTTTGGCTGATGGACCAGAATGGGCCAGACACAGATGAGTCACACAGCTGAGGCACTGCACACATAAGGAAACTGGGTCTTGGAGAGATTGGTGGTGGTGGCTGAGTGGGGCAGTGTAGGGAGGACCTGTCAATAAATACCTTTTTTGGGAGGCCAAGGTGGGCAGATCACTTGGGGTCATTTCAGGACCAGCCTGGCCAAAATGGTGAAACCCTATCTCTACTAAAAATTCTACTAAAAAAAAAAAAATTAGCCAGGCGTGGTGGCACGTGCCTGTAGTCCCAGCTACTCGGGAGGCTGAGGCAGGAGAATTGCTTGAACCTGGGAGGCAGAGGTTTCAATGAGCCACAATCGTACCACTTGCACTCCAGCCTGGGCAATAGAGGGAGACTCTATCTCAAAAAAAAAAAAAAAAAAAAAAAAAAACTAACTAAATAAATAAATACCTTTTTTACTGTGGCTCATGCCCATAATCCCAACACTTTAGGAGGCTGAGGCAGGCAGATCACAAGGTCAGGAGTTCGAGACCAGCCTGGCCAGCATGATGAAACCCCATCCCTACTAAAAATACAAAAATTAGCCAGGCATGGTGGTGGGTGCCTGTAATCCAAGCTACTTGAGAGGCTGAGGCAGGAGAATTGATTGAACCCGGGAGGTGGAGGTTGCAATAAGCCGAGATCCGGCCACTGCACTCCAGCCTGGGCGACAGAGCAAGACTCCGTCTCAAAAAAAAAAAAAAAAAAACAACATCGACAACAATAAAACCATGTAGATAAGGCTATGGAAACAATTTTAAGTGGTTTAGAATCCCTATATAATTTATTTGCAAATGCAGCCTTTCTATTGAATAGCAAGCTGCTAGAAGAAAGGAACAACAGTTGATGTATTTGTTAGAAGAAATATGTAAAGGGTGTGCTGATAATTAATGCTATTATGCTACTATTTTTAAAGTCTATTTCCTGTTCTCTTTACAGGCAGCAGTTGATGCTTGCAAACTAATGGGGGAAAAGAAATTTCACCATGTAATTATGGAAGATAAACGTATTTTCTGGAACTCCAAAATAACTGATATAAGGGATGTTGTCACCATGCAAGATTATATGCAAGTAAGGAATTTAGGTTTAGATGTTGAAAAACAAACAAACCAAGCAAGTCTTCCTAACTCTGTCGTGCAAGAAGAATCACTTTTTTATTATGGTAAAATACACACAATATAAAATTTACTATTTTATATCTTTCAATTATTTATTTATTTATTTATTTATTTTTTTGAGATAGAGTCTTGCACTGTCACCCAGGCTGGAGTACAGTGGTGTAATCTTGGCTCTCTGCAACCTCTACCTCCCAGGTTCAAGTGATTCTCCTGCCTCAGCCTCCAGAGTAGCTGGGATTACAAGTGCACATTACCACACCCGGCTACTTTTTTTGAATTTTTAGTAGAGATGGGCTTTCACTGTATTGGCCAGACTGGTCTCAAACTCCTGACCGCATGATCCACCTGCCTTGGCCTCTCAAAATGCTGGGTTTACAGGTGTGAACCATCATGCCCAGCCCTTTCAATTATATTCTATAGAATGAAACTTACTTTTAGATACCCAAGCACTAGTACTTTTTAAAATTTTTTTAAATTTAACTTTTAAGTTCAGGGGTACATGTACAGGTTTGTTATTGTATACAGGTAAACTTGTGTCATAGGGGTTTGTTGTTCAGATTATTTTGTCACCCAGGTATTAGGCCTAGTACCCATTAGTTATTTTTCCTGATCCTCTCCCTCCTCTCACCCTCCACCCTCTGGTAAGCCCCAGTGTGTGTTGTTTCCCTCTATGAGTCTATGTGTTCCCACCATAAAATTTACCATCTTAAAGTATATAATTCAGAGGCACTAAGTACATTCACAGGGTTTTGCAAGCATCACCACCATCTAGTTCCAGAACCTTTTCATTACTCTGAAAGGAAACCCTGCATCCAGTAAGCAGTCACTCTCCATTCCTGCATCATTCCAGCCCTGTAAACCACCAGTCTACATTCTGTCTCTATGGATTTGCCTAATATGGATATTTCATATAAAGGAAGTCATGTGATATATGGGTTTTTTTGTATGTAGGGAGGGTGATAGCTAAGGAGTTTGGGGGTTCTTTTGGGGTGATGGAAATATTCTGAAATATTCATAGGTAGTGGTGATAGTTGCACAACATTGTGAATATACAAAAAATCATCGAGTTGTAGACTTTTTTGAGCCAGAGTTTCACTCTTGTCACCCAGGCTGAAGTGCAATGGCATGATCTCAGCTCACTGCAACCTCTGCCTCTTGGGTTCAAGCGATTCTCCTGCCCCGCCTCCCGAGTAGCTGGGATTACAGGTATCCACCACCATGCCCAGGTAATTTTTTAATATTTTTAGTAGAGACAGGGTTTCATTATGTTGGCTATGCTGGTCTCAAACTCCTAACCTCAGGCAATCCACCCGTCTCAGCCTCCCAAAGTGCTAGGATTACAGATGCCTGCCACCATGCCCAGCTAATTTTTTTGTATTTTTAGTAGAGATGGGGTTTCACTATGCTGGCCAGGCTGGTCTTGTACTCCTAACCTCAGGCAATCTGCCCAACTTGGCTTCCCAAAGTGCTGGGATTACAGGCGTGAGCCAACATGCCCAGCCGAGTTATATACTTTAAAATGATTTGGCCGGGCGCGGTGGCTCAAGCCTGTAATCCCAGCACTTTGGGAGGCCGAGGCGGGTGGATCACGAGGTCGAGAGATCAAGACCGTCCTGGTCAATATGGTGAAACCCCGTCTCTACTAAAAATACAAAAAAAAAGTAGCTGGGCATGGTGGCACATGCCTGTAATTCAAGCTACTCAGGAGGCTGAGGCAGGAGAATTACCTGAACCCAGGAGGCGGAGGTTGCGGTGAGCCGAGATCGCGCCATTGCACTCCAGCCTGGGTAACAAGAGCGAAACTCCGTCTCAAAAAAAAAAAAAAATGATTTAAATAGTAACGTTTCTATTATGCGAAGTTTATATCAACAAAAAATCAAAAATTTAAAAATACATGGTGCTTAAAAAAAAGTATATGATGGGGATTTGACCTAGTGGGGAAGGGTTCTCTTATTGTTTGGATGCTTTCTCTACAAATAACAGCATATTTCCATCGATAAGAGGTTTAAACAATAAAGGCCATTTATTGTCCCTTGAAAGAAGTCTGGGGATAGGCAGTTCTTGGGCTAGCTAATTCACAGCCTAGTGACATCAGGTTCTGGTCCAGCTTCTCTTCATTCCTCTTGGCTTCCTTCACATGGAAACAATGACTGTCTCATCCTCAGTTCCATTCCAAGGCAGGAAGAGGGGACTCCTAGCATCTTTCTTTATCTCAAGAAGGAAACTTTTTCCCAGAAACTTCCAAGAGACTTCCTCTTAGATCCCATTGGTCAGAATTGGATCACATGCTCCCCCTAAACCAATCACTGATAAGGGTGAAGCTGGCAGAGGTTGGTTCATGAAGTTTTTTTTTTTTTTTTTTTGAGATGGAGTCTCGCTCTTGTTACCCAGGCTGGAGTGCAATGGCGCAATCTTGGCTCACCGCAACCTCCGCCTCCTGGGTTCAGGCAATTCTCCTGCCTCAGCCTCCTGAGTAGCTGGGATTACAGGCACGCGCCACCATGCCCAGCTAATTTTTTTGTATTTTTAGTAGAGATGGGGTTTCACTATGCTGGCCAGGCTGGTCTTGTACTCCTAACCTCAGGCAATCTGCCCAACTTGGCTTCCCAAAGTGCTGGGATTACAGGCGTGAGCCAACATGCCCAGCCGAGTTATATACTTTAAAATGATTTGGCCGGGCGCGGTGGCTCAAGCCTGTAATCCCAGCACTTTGGGAGGCCGAGGCGGGTGGATCACGAGGTCGAGAGATCAAGACCGTCCTGGTCAATATGGTGAAACCCCGTCTCTACTAAAAATACAAAAAAAAAGTAGCTGGGCATGGTGGCACATGCCTGTAATTCAAGCTACTCAGGAGGCTGAGGCAGGAGAATTACCTGAACCCAGGAGGCGGAGGTTGCGGTGAGCCGAGATCGCGCCATTGCACTCCAGCCTGGGTAACAAGAGCGAAACTCCGTCTCAAAAAAAAAAAAATGATTTAAATAGTAACGTTTCTATTATGCGAAGTTTATATCAACAAAAAATCAAAAATTTAAAAATACATGGTGCTTAAAAAAAAGTATATGATGGGGATTTGACCTAGTGGGGAAGGGTTCTCTTATTGTTTGGATGCTTTCTCTACAAATAACAGCATATTTCCATCGATAAGAGGTTTAAACAATAAAGGCCATTTATTGTCCCTTGAAAGAAGTCTGGGGATAGGCAGTTCTTGGGCTAGCTAATTCACAGCCTAGTGACATCAGGTTCTGGTCCAGCTTCTCTTCATTCCTCTTGGCTTCCTTCACATGGAAACAATGACTGTCTCATCCTCAGTTCCATTCCAAGGCAGGAAGAGGGGACTCCTAGCATCTTTCTTTATCTCAAGAAGGAAACTTTTTCCCAGAAACTTCCAAGAGACTTCCTCTTAGATCCCATTGGTCAGAATTGGATCACATGCTCCCCCTAAACCAATCACTGATAAGGGTGAAGCTGGCAGAGGTTGGTTCATGAAGTTTTTTTTTTTTTTTTTTGAGATGGAGTCTCGCTCTTGTTACCCAGGCTGGAGTGCAATGGCGCAATCTTGGCTCACCGCAACCTCCGCCTCCTGGGTTCAGGCAATTCTCCTGCCTCAGCCTCCTGAGTAGCTGGGATTACAGGCACGCGCCACCATGCCCAGCTAATTTTTTTGTATTTTTAGTAGAGACGGGGTTTCACCGTGTTGACCAGGATGGTCTCGATCTCTTGACCTTGTGATCCACCCGCCTCGGCCTCCCAAAGTGCTGGGATTACAGGCTTGAGCCACCGCGCCCGGCGTGGTTCATGAAGTTTAAGGAAAGAAGCCATCTTCATAACATAAAAGTACAAGGTGAAGCAGCAAGTGCTGATGCAGAAGCTGCAGCAAGTTATCCAGAAGATCTAACTAAGATAATTGGTGAAGGTGGCTGCACTAAACCACAGATTTTCAATATAGACAAAATAGCCTTATACTGTTAGAAGATGCCCTGTAGGGCTTTCACAGCTAGAGAGGAGAAGTCAATGCCTGGCTTCAAAGGACAGGCTGACTCTCTTGTTAGGGGCTAATGCAGCTGCTAACTTTAACTTAAAGCCAGTGCTCATTTACCGTTCTGAAAATTTTAGGGCCCTTAAGAAATATGCTACATCTGGCTGGGCGCAGTGGCTCACGCCTGTAATCCCAACACTTTGAGGGGCCAAGACTGGTGGATCATTTGAGGTCAAGAGCTCAAAACCAGCCTGGCCAATATGGTGAAACACCATCTCAATTAATAATACAAAAATTAGCTGAGTATGGTGGCACATGCCTATAGTCCCAGCTACTGGGGAGGCTGAGGCTGGAGAATCACTTGAGCCCAGGAGGCAGAGGTTGCAGTGGGCTGAGATTGTACCACTGCACTCCAGCCTGGGTGACAGAGAAAGACTCTGTCTCAAGAAAAAAAAAAAAGTATGTTAAATCTACTCCGTATAGAGTAATTATATAGCCTGTGCTCTATAAATGGAATAATACAGCCTGGACAAAGCACATATATTTACAGCATGGTTTACTGAATATTTTAAGCCCGTCTTGAGACCTACTGCTCAGACAAGACCAAAAAAAAGATCCCTTTCAAAATATTACAGCTCATTGACAAGCCACCTGGTCACCCAAGACCTCTGATGGAACTGTGCAAAGAGATGAGTATTTTCATGCCTGCTAATACAACATCCATTCTACAGCCCATGGATCAAGGAGTACTTTCAACTTTCAAGTCTTATTATTTAAGAAATACAATTCAAGGCCGGGCGCGGTGGCTCACGCCTGTAATCCCAGCACTTTGGGAGGCCGAGGCGGGTGGATCACGAGGTCAAGAGATCAAGACCATCCTGGTGAACATGGTGAAACCCCGTCTCTACTAAAAATACAAAAAATTAGCTGGGCATGGTGGCGTGTGCCTGTAATCCCAGCTACTCGGGAGGCTGAGG